GATCTTTCAGTTTCTCTCTTCTTATGAATACTTTTGCATATAATACAGGGGCCTTTGAAATATTCCTCAACACACGCATGCTTTATATTGCTAATGACTCTTCCCCTTCAGCAGGAGCATGGAGCCAAACGTCTAATTTAAAAATTTTACTCACTCCTTCATGACGACATATATCTGAGCATTTGAAAGGGTTCTCGCTCGTACTGTATCAGTGAATCAGTTCTGCAGTATTAGTAATAACTAATTTTCTAAGGAAACGTCAGACTCAGATTGATACTTCTCACCCTTTGTTTTTGCTGATAATATTGACAATAATAATAATAATAATAATATACTTACGAACGTGTAGTTGAAACGGGATCCATAGAACGGGAAGAAAAAGTCCAGATCAATCTGCAAGTCTTTCCAGGGCCTGTCGACCATGTCTATGTCATAGTAGCGTTCTCCGAATGGGTACAGGTTCCACCAACCTAAATAACAACGTCGTATTTGTGTCTCCTGTCACTAATCAAAGCGCTAATGTATTTGGGTGAATCTTAAGTCCAGTACTGTACAGCTATTTGTGGTAACAAACTGAATGTTGCTTTTGGACCTTTCGTCTATCTTCCAGTAAATGGCATTCAAATGGCAGCTTGTCTTGTGATTCTCAAACTTAGTCACAAATTCGTAGACTTAAGCACGTCAGGAACGAGTAGAGGGGGGATGTATATATTCTCTCTTGCCGCTACGGTAGACATAGGACCCGTTTAACAAGTGCCATTCGCTATTACTCAGGTATATTACTGTGTTCAAGTAGAGTGAGGGAACTTATCATTTTTTCATTTGCTGATGTTATTCATAATACGTGTTTCCTCTTTCTCCTCCAAAGAGTGTACTATGCAGTATTGACTGACTACGACTTTATCACGATTCGTTCAGGAATTTACATGTAAGGTGATCTCTAATTTTTCTACCAGGATTTGTGGCTGAAACGTTTCTCCCAAAAGAAACTGCGTTAATGGGAATAACCGACTGGGACTGGTAAACTGACCGCATGGTGGCCCATAATAATCCTTCGCCGCTACCATGGCAGATTAAAGAACACATATCGCCATATTGTGACCTGCAATATAATCCATATTTTGGTTCCTATTCCCATTTCATGATGGAAGACACTTATGTTTGAGGAAGGTCTGGGCTTATTTCTAATTCGCGATGCATGTAGGGCGGACTAACGAATCTCTCTAGATTGTCAATCAGTTCAGTGTACGACAGATAGACATACTCAGAGTAAGAAGGAAATGTATGGCCTGGAACATGCATCTTTGTCCAGGAAGAACATGATTATGGTTCAGTCAAGGTTCCAATCAGAAATGTGTGATTTTTGAATAATGGTATGAAGACAGCCGTGCTTTTTTGATTTATCTCATAGCAAATTTAAATAGTTTCGACTAGGACATGGTCCCAAGAATCGGATATAAAACTGGCACATTAAGTGTCAGGAGATTCTTAACTCTAAAGTACATATTGTACAGTTTTATCATCTAGGAAATGCCCTCATTTGACGTACTTCATTGATAACATATCCATTTATCCGCACCACTTCCCACCGCATGATATTCTTCACTTTGTGAAGCTCACTGCGCAGTTCCTCGATTCCATTTGAACGCCTTCGATGAGTTATGCATCATTTGACATACTAATCATGCCTATGAGCATACGTCTAAGGAGTACCAGCTCCTGAAACGTCATTCCCAATGAAAGCGTGTGCGGAGCTTTAGCGAGCAAAACGATGCGAAACGTGTTGAACACTGCAAGAGGCGAAATACTATGGAATCCTGATCTGTTGAAAAGAAACTTAGGAACTAAGAGAAAAGAGGTGATGCAACACTGTGTTAAGTCTTGGAGGAATTAGGTGTTATCCGAACGTCGCTTCAGATCAAATAACCAATTAGTTCGAACTTGATTCAGACCTCTTTATTTTCTGACCTGCTCATCTGCATGTTCTTCTGAACCACTGTGTTGATACCTACGAAACTGTTCGCTAAACCACTATGAAGTGCCTTGTTCAAGCAATTGGAGTCGAAACCTCGGAACGTGCACACACAACTAAACTTTGAGGTGCATGTGTGAAACCGAACCATGTTTTGAATCATGTCCACAATATCATGAATGGTGAGTGATCGGTGAAAACGCACACGTATACCTTCCTCTTGCCGGCGGTCCGGGAACGTGGAGTCCTCCTGTGTCGTCGCTCGTTTGTCCAAAGACCCGTCGTTCATCGACAGACGATCGACGGACTGAAAATCGTACAGGTAGCCTGTCGCGTCCTTGCCAAAGGGGCCTGCATCCTGCACTGGCGACGTGTTGACTTGCTGCGACCACGTGTGCCATACGAGGGAACAGAGAACGAAGGCAGCGACCACCCCGCAAAAGTCTGGCATTGTCATGGGGTCATGAGATCGCCAACGCTAAGAGAGCCGTCTCGATGCTTTGCAACAAGTATTTACAGAGATCGAGGTCGCGGTAGCAACTGATCCCTGTGTCAACAGGTACATCTGACGAAAGGGGAGTTGTGATACGGAGCAGCGATGATAATATTTGCCCGTCGCCAGTGGTAGTAACCGATCATGCAGTTGATGCCGACTTTGACTGGCAGAGTAGACGAGGCGTCGATTCCGACGTTAATGCGGCAAACCACATGCGTTCAGCGACGGCCTCTTGTTCCGTTACCAACAGAACAGTGGTTTTACTGTGCCATCAAACCGAGTCGTCCAGACGGCCCTCAGTGGCAGTGTGGAAATTTATGTGCCATGAGTCTTTCAGCGAACAACGTGTGGAAATTTATCTCGAAATATCGTTCTGCTTTTTGCATAACGCAAAGCATTAGTGTCAGTTTTTGCGACGACTGGCTGCGATGTTCAGGCTAGAACGGCAAGAACATAATTGGCATCCATGTATGAATGCCAGTTTCCGAAGATCATTATCGCACTCCGCATGAGATACCGTGTCTGAAACGTGCCCGTTATCAGACTCTGGGAGGTAGAAGCAGTTCTTAAATTTTGCCTCGTGATCGACAATAACTATTATGAGGGACGACTGGTAATTATGACCGGTCTCGTGGACAAACTACTAGACAGCAACCGATAAAAGTTGTCGATAAACGCAGCCTCGGCTTCCGGGTCATGGAGAGTAGACAAGATCAAAGTATGCAAGACATCGCAATACTAGACAAGGAACCAAATGGTGCATACAGTTGAGTGGTTACTGTGGCGGTGGCCTGTCAAGATCGCTGAAGCAATCGTAACAAAAGGAAGGCCAACCCTTCATGGGAATTTAGGCGGTTCTCTCTCCCTCTCACAGAAAAAAACTTTCCATGAAAAACATAGATGGAAACGTTACGGATTGCGGACTACCCTCTGTACTTGTCCAAATGTAAGACTGCCTTTCAGCATCATTTCGTCGACCCTTTAAACGGAGTACGATGGCTCATGGGGCAAAGGAAATTCGACATTATGTTCAAACATGATATCGAATTGAGTATAACCCCCTTTGCACTATTTCAGTGGTCAGAGCATCGGCCTCCAACACTACAAATTTTCTCATAGTTTTACGTTGATGTCATCTCCTGAGAGACAAGGTAACATCTGCCATTTCAGAGAGACAAACAAAATCACTGTTCACGAGTTCCAGATTGAGTATAGGGTCGACCGCGTTCTTACCCATGAATCTCTCCACATAATATTATGTCTGACATCGGAACGTGTCAAGGGTTTGTCTAAGTTTAGCAGATAAGTCTTAGAGGAAGCATTCAACACTTGCAGTAAGCTGATGCAATAACAAATAACTGAAAATCTTTTATGATTAATGAGGATCATCTTTGTTATGGTCCATCTTGTGCGATTTATCATCACAAGCACTTCCACATATTTCTTTTGGCTCATTGTTTCATCTGAGTCAAGGTCAAGATCTTTCAAGTTGGCGCCTACAGCTTCTTGGGTATCAATCCGCCACCACTGAACTCCAGCTGCCATCCGCCAGTTTACGATATAACCTGCCCATCGTCGTTTACTTTCCCATACTCATAAAACTGATATTACACCCGGCGTTGCGCAGAGAGAAATATGGAATCAATTTTACCAACATAAAGCCAGCATCTTATCGTTCATGCAACGTTTCACTGTGAGTTTCATGAGCGGGATTACGGAGTGAACCCTTCAAATGCACTGGCGTTCAAATTTCTGCGTTTGACGTTCATACGGGTGGAAATTTTATACAAACTTTAAACGGTATAATTTCAAATGGCATGGTTTTCAAGCCGTCATCGGCTCAATCACAAAGTTGTTGACTTCTCATTGTCAAAATAGCATGAATTCGAACAACGCCTAGGATCGTACTCGATCCTTCATCAACGGCTATAATATGCATATAGTAATTATCAACGTACATGGGCGGATAGGGAGGGCAGGGGTTGTGGCAAAATGCGCTGTAATTTGCTTATTACTCTAGAGTTATTTGGTTTAAACCCTAATCACCGCGTAAATTGACTCTTATTAACGCCTAATTCCATTGAGCCGGGAATTCGCCTCACTGCGTCTCGAAGTCTCGAGAAACAATTAATAGGTCGTGGAGCTAAGAATCATACGGACCGCACGGTGTTTTCGTGTGCTATTGGGAAAACACAAGGTAAACGGTTTTGGTCTCCGTTGGGAGCGCTTCTATTGTGTGCAATTCAGTTTAGCTCATTTAATGGCCTCAGTTTTATCAGCGAACGTAAATTTACAAAAATTAGAAAATGATGAAAATTATGGTCAGTGCAAGAACCTTACTAAATAACTTTTCATATAAACTACGTATTTAATAGTATTTAATCACATTATTCTATTTATTTGAAGTTCAAAATATTGTAACGTCTTTTAGTGACTGAGCCTGCTATCAGGACTACTGATCAAAATACCCATCTGAATACAAATGCCCATAAGTCCGGAGAAACTCTGCAATTCCATCTACACTACTTGTTGTACATTTCTTGGTGGACTGCATCGCTATGGAATGAGGTGAATTCTTTACTCAAGGGAATTGACAATTAATGAATGAAACTTTTTGACCCGAAGGCACTCCATTTCCCTCTACTCCAATAAACAATCCATTTTTCAAAAAGAGAAAAACATTTCACTGGAAACTTATCATCCATTATCTGATTTGTTCATTGTAGGCAAGTGATGAACGCAAGTCTACACTCCTCCAGTGTTTTATATTCTCCACTTCCTCAAGTAACTAGACAATTGAATCGTCCCAGTGAGTTCTTGGAGCACTAATTAAACGTTAGTTGACCAAAGGAACCCCAATGGCAACGCTTGACGCCCATCGGTTGCATCTCGGATGAGCCACGTGACCAGCCTATCTTCTCGTGGCGTCGCAGAAGGCATAAATGTTCTTTGTTAATCCAGTTCGTTGTCGAATTTGTGCGCCCAAGACGTGATCCTTGAAGGACACCTTGCACACTCATCTCTCCCTCGCTACTTGCTTGATCATCAGTTGGTTCTCTTCGACCTCGGTTAGTAGGGACTTGTGCAACGAGATTACGGATTTATAAGAAACAAGATCAAGTTTAAGAGAACCAGTTGCTGTAAGACGAAACGACGAAAGCGAGGGAGGATTTCAGATAGACGGAAAGATAGGATTAAGGGCCAGTTGAACTTTGTGAAAGGCAAGGAAACAAAGCGGTTTTATTAAGTGCCAGTTTTAGTTATAAATAAGCATTTGTTAAAAACTTGGTTTTCTCCCTTGGCTGATGCATGCAACGAGATGAGAAATCGGTTATACCAGAGAGAATACGTGACACTTTACATTTTTGCTGTAAAGTCAGGTCGTTTTGTTGGCATGTCGTTCTTTTGCCTTCAGCGTTCCCTAACATGGTAAGGTTCAAGTCACAGTCAGTTCCTGCGGCATTATTTTAAACCGACTAATTGATCCTTTATACTTTGAACAGTAGTATAGATTACTTTTAATCGCTCTCAGAACCAAATACTCAGATGTATTCAGTATTCTATTCAGCGAATGTGCAGGATGCGCTGCTGATATTATATTATGAATTTTGCCATCCCGGAAACTGCGTCTGACTTAACTTGTAGCACGTGCACACTTGGTCTGCTAGCAGCTTCGAACACTGATGAATTAAGCCATCGCTCCGTTAGTCGATTAATCCATTCACCACAGCTCCGTTCGGTCCAACTCTTAATGCAGTCTTTCATTCATTCATCCACATACTTCTTATTACATTCGTCCATCCGCTTTCATCTCTCACCGTTTCTTTTGATTCAAATTTCACAGTGGCTTTGAATCTAAGCAATAACGTATTTAGCATGAAAATCACTTCACTTTGTTTATCGATCGCTCTCACAGCTCCTGCAGGACTGATGATTGCCTCGGAATAGGTTTACAACTATAACAGAGATGACGTCTTTTAACTATGACATTGAATAGGCAGCTCTAATGCCGGCAAATACAAATTGCAGCTATAGGAGACGCTCACATCAGACAGCACGACCTCATGTACCACAAGAAAACACTATGCTGCTGTTGTTGCTTGAAAGCCGGCAACTTGCTATCCGTTTTCGTTTTTCAGCTGGTACAGTTTTACACCACAGCATCGTAGGCCAGATTTCTTCCTCTAGGGAACTGTAGCAAATTTTGTCTTTATCGGAATTCGAACCCGGTGTTCGGGGCAGACCATTCGTTTGTCCGACTGTGTCACTGTGTTTGGTATTTCTATCGCTTTTCTACGATCTGTCTGTCTAAGCCTCGTGGTTTGCTACAGTAATGTTCTTGGTGGCATCCTCGCTGTTCTTGAACATCTACAGTTGTGACATTTCATTCATTGTATATAAATTTCATCGATTGGTCAAACAGGCGATAATCGTAAAGCCATCTTATTTAGAAAATGCATGTATTTCAGAACAGGACAAAGGTAGGGACGCAGCCGCATTACCTGCATGAATTCAAAAAATCTTTATTATGCAGCTGTTCAGAAAAATTTCATTCCAATTAAGAGAGAGAGCGTTAGCTCTACTC